TTCTCACTTGGCTTTCTCTTATTCTAGGTCTTTGTTTCACTACCCCGCCTTTAGCGGTCATCTCTATGCTAGGTCCCACAGGTACCTCAGACCCCAGCCCTCCTCCCCAAATCTCCCCCTTCTCCTTTGTGCCAGCTACAGGTTCAGATCAGAAATCTGAGCCTCATCCTTGACTTTTACTTTGCCTATTCAGTGCATTATCAAGCCCTATCCTTCTACCTCCTAAGTATCTGCTGCTGCATTCTTTTTTCTGTTTCCCTTGTCTCTCTAGTGTAGGCCACTTTCACCACTCACATGGACTACTGCAGGAGCCTCCTAAATTGTTTCCGATGCTTTCCAATCCATCATTATAGCAAGGGGAACTTGATTTAAAAAAAAAAAAAAACAAAAAAACCTTTCTATTATGAGAACTTTAAAACATACACAAAAGAAGAGAGCGTGCTATAATGAACCCCAGGTACCCATCACCCAGCTTCAAGAATTAGCAACATATGGTCAATCTCATTTTTTAATACCTTTCCCCCTCCGCATTGGCCTATTTTAAATCAAATTCCAAATATTATTTCATTCATAGGACTCTCTTAAAAAATGTAACCACAGTATTATACCAAAAATAATTTTAACCACAACTCTAATATCTAATACTCAGTAAATGTTGAGATGTCCATGAACGTCCCATAAATATCTTTTTTTTTTCCTGCAGTTTGTGTGTTTAAATAAGGATTCAAGTGAGGTCCATATGTTAAAATTGGTCTCTTCTAGTCTATAACATTTTCTTATCCCTTTTTATTTTTTTCTTCCTATTTATGGAAGAAACTGGGTCATTGGACCTGCACAATTTTCTACAGTCTGAATTTGGCTGATTATGTCCCATGATGTTATTTAACATGTTCTTCCATCCCCTGTATTTTCCGAAAACTGGTAGTTAAATCTAAGGTTTGATTGGATTGGATTCGGGTTTGTTTTTTATTTTTGGCAAGGGTATATCATCGATGGTGCTGTGTACTTGTGAACTTCCCTTTGCATCGCATCGGTAAACACTGAATGTCAGTTCTCCCTATCTTTATATCTACCAATTATGTGAAACATTAGTGTTAGAGGTACATGTTAAGTAAAAGCTCAGAGATGCATTTAGTCAAATCCAGAGTGTGGGAAACTAAAGGACAAAAGACCCAGTCTCTTTCATAAATAAATGGGAAGAAAGAAAATAAATAGAGGGAGAAATTTTATTGACTATAAGAGACAAATCAACCAATTGGAATATGCGGCCCTCCCTTGAATCCATTGCAAAGAAAAGAGAGGAAAGGGAATTTAAAGGTGAAATGAGATTTAAAAGACATAGATGAAATGAGATTCAAGAGACATTTCAGCCAGTTGCATTGTGTATACCTTATTTGGAACTTGCTTTGAAAAACCTGTAGAAAATTTTTTTATAAAACAAGATGGTTTTGAATACTGACCAGATAATTTATGATGTTCATGAATTGCTGTTAATATATTTTAGGTGAATTAATGGCATTGGGTTTTATTTCTTTTTTTTTGATGTTTTTTAATTTTTGTTTTTCAGTTAGAGTTGACATTCAGTATTTTATATTAGTTTCAATTGTACAGCATAGTGGTTAGACATTTACATAATTTATGAAACAATCCCCAATTAGTCTTGTACCCACCTAGCACTATACATAGTTATTACAGTATTATTTACTGTATTTCCTATGCTGTACTTCACATCCCTGTGACTGTTTTCTAGCTACCAATTTGTACTTAATCTCTCCACCTTTTTCACCCATCTGGCAATCACCAATTTGTTCTCTGTATCTATGAGTCTGTTTCCATTTTGTAAGGTTTTATTTTTAAATCATCCTATCTTTTACAACTGTGGTTCTCAGTGAGAGTAGGGTGGGATGGATTTTGTATCCTTAGGGGACATTCAGTAATGTCTGGAGATACTCTTGTCACACCCACTTGTCACAACTGGGGCGAGGGTTACTACTGGCATCTAGTGGGTAGACACCATGGGTGCTGCTAAACATCCTACAGTGCATGGGACAGCCCCCACAACAAAGAATTATCTGGCCCAAAATATTAATAATAGTGCTGAGATTCAGAAATCCTGTTTTAAAGATACATACTGAAGTATTTATGGATGAAATATGTCTGAGATTTGTCTTAAAATAATTGAATATAGAAAGGAATTGGGTATAGAAGGCAGAGTGTTTGCCGTGAGTTAATAATGATTGAAGCTGGGAAAGAGGTACATGGGGGTTCATTAAATTCTCTGCATTTTTGTGTATGTTTGAAAATTTACATAATATAAAGTTAAGAAAAGAAAACAATCATGATCAATATAGGTTCAGGTGTTGGTTAGCCCCATCAATTTTTATGAAGTTCCCTATCAGCCTTTCATAGTTGGTTTTAGCAGCTCTTAATGATCATTGCCTAGCTACCTTAAGGGTTTCAAAATGGTAATTTTCTAATTCTTTCATTCCTCCTCTACTTATTAATTGGATATCTAAAAAGAACTTTCTCACATCAACTGCGTAGTTCCCTTTAAATACAGTTAGTGTAGAAAAAGTAGGATAAATACTTAATTATTTTCCTTAATTTACCAGCATTTAGAATGAGTTGGTTGCCTTTTGTAACCTTTAAAGGTGACCAATGAGGTTTTTATATTTGTATTTCTTATACGCATGAGTTTGTTTAAATGTATTTTGATCTGTTTTGGTCTATTGGAGTCATTTCCCTTTTTGATGTTCAAATCGTCCCATCCTTGGCTAGTGGGAGCCACTTCAAGTTGATTTTTTGTTTTCGTTCTTATTTTTAGATTTTTATTATGGAAAATTTCATATGCTGAAGTAAAATAATACAGTACTACCTCATGTTGCCATCACCAGTTTCAATAGTTATCAGCTCATGACCAAACTTGTTTCACGTGCACCTGCAGACACTCCATCCTCCCTTTCCACCCTCAGGTTATTTAAAAATAAATTCTCGACATCATGTCATTTCTTTGTAAGTATTTCAGAGTGTATCAACAGAAGAGATAATTCTTAAAAATATGTGGAATCATTTTCATACCAAAAAATAATTCTTTAATATTGGAATTATATTTCATTATGTATTATATAATAATTCCTTAATATTATGATTAGTATTCACATTTCCCTGATTGTCATACACAAACTCTTCACAGTTTACTTGTTGGAATTGGGAGTCAAGTGAGATGATAGATATAGATGGATGCATGATTGAGGTAGCGATTGGTTGATATCTGTCTTAAGTCCCACTTAATCTATAAGGTGTCCTTCCTTCTGTTTTTATTTTTCTTTGGAATATTTTTTGTTGTTGAAGAACTTGGCTCATTTCTCCTGGGGGATTTTCTATATTCCATGCTTTGTTGATTGTATCCTGTGATTTTTAAAATGTTTCCCCAGAACAAAGCAAAAAAAGAGTTCTGCTATCCCCCATAGTTCCTGTAAATGGGTAGTTAGAAGTAGATCAGTGCTCTTCAATAGAGATATAATACGACCCACATGTGTAATTTTTAAAATGTGATTAATTTTAATGCTACATTTTGTTTAACTCAGTATATCCAAAAAGGTTTTTGTTTCAGTGTGTAAGCAATATAAAAATTATTGATGAGATATTTGACGATTTCTTTTTGTACTGTCTTCAAATTCAGTATATATTTTACACTTACAACGCATCTCAATTTGGATACTAAAATTTCCTCAGAAATACTTGATCTGTATTTAGATATCCTAAAATTTACAACTGAAAAAGGAGAACCATATATTCAAGTTGTTCCAAATATACTTAAAAGTTTTCCAGTAACTGAATTAAGTATCAGTTTTGAAAGTTAACCAAAATTCAGTAAAATTAAAACTAGCTCCTCACTTGCACTAGCTGCATTTTTCATGCATGATAGTTAAATGTGGCTAGTGGCTGCCTTATTGGACAGCTCATATCTAGAGGTTTGATTAGATTCAAGTTTTGGGGTTCGTTTTGGTGAAGACTACTTCCTAAGTAGCATTGTTAGTTCCATCGGGAGGTTTATAATCTCTGGTCATGGCTTTTTTCATGCAGTTTGCAGTTATGATGATCATTACCTAGATCTATTAAATTCATCTGGGGTTGCAAAATGGTGATCTTATTCTATCATTTCTTCTTTATTTATTAGCCGGAATACTGTAAGGAGAGATTTCCTCTCATCAGTTACTTGGTTACTCTGAGGTACAGTTTACATAGGAAAGGCAGGACATATATGCTTGATTCTTATCCTTTATTTACCATTTTATAAAGTAATGAGTTGTTTCTTTGGTGTTCTCAAGATTTGTCCACTGAGTTGTTTTCCTTATCATTATGAACTTATGGGTTTAAACACATTTGGTGTGTTATACTCTGTTGTGGTTATTATCCTTCTTATTGATCAAGTTGTCGCATCTTTGGCCAGTGGGAACTCATTCAGGTTGGCTTCTGAATCATTTTGACACAACTCTTATAGTCTTTCATATCTTCCATGCTTTCTGGTATGTCCAGGCTCATCCTCTACATTTCCTACCCCAAACCTGGAATTAGCCATTACTCTGAGAAGCTCTGACTTCTTTTAGTGGGGAATGCTATTATTTAGTGACTGCCATACTGTCTGGGCACTGGAGTGCTCATGACTGCTGGGTTGTTCTGTGCTTCCAGAACGTTTCAGTAGACTGGGCTAGGAAATGCATTTTTAATTTTGAAGGAAAATGTATCATGAGTTTATATTGATACTCGTAATTGAAATTGTAATTGTCAGTTTAATATCATTGATTTTATTGAGTCTCCAGTTATTCTTGCTAAAAATCTTGGTTACTAGCAACACTAACATAGTAACATATTTACTTTATCCTATTCTGCATATAATAGTTTGAAAATCACAACGAGATATTAGTAACAGTTTAATTAATGAATGCTGTTTAAGATTTCCTTGACGTTTCGTTGTTAAGCTAATGGCTCATTGAGCATGCACAGTTCTGAGTGTTTAGCTTAATATATAGTCAGATTTCTTTGTTCAGTTTTCAGTTTTTAAGGGATTGCTCTTTTTAACATTTTGATTTTTTTCCATCTTTAACTTTGAAGATGTTCGAACCTATAGAAAAATTGAAAGAATAGTATAGTGAACAACCATATGCCTTTCACCTTAGATTCACCAATGACTATTTTTCCAGTGTGCTTTCTTTTTCATCTCGATTCTGTCCCTCCACACTACACTTTTTTTTGTTTTTGCTGAATCATTTGAAGGAAGTTGCAGACTTCAACTCCAAATACTTCAGCATGCTGAGAACAAGGGATTCTCCTCCACAACCACAATTCTATATTACACAACCACAATTCTGTATTAATAATAATTTCACATCTAATATCCTGCCCATATTAAAATTTCCCTAGTTGTTCCAAAAGTGTCTTTTATAGTTTTCTTTTTTAAAAACAATGATCCAGTTAAGATTCATGTATTGCTTTTGGTTGTTCTGTCTCTTTAGTTTCTCTTAATGTGGAGCAGTCTGCTCACCCTTTTTCATAACATGATCTTTTGAGAGTCCACATGTTGTCTTGAAGAAGGATATGTTATGGATACGTTACAGATATGTTAGTTTCCTTTCATTATTGCTTGACTTGTTCTTCCTATAAATTGGAAGCTTGATCTATTCTGGAGGCTTGATGAATTTAGGTCAAGTAATTTTTTGGCAAGAACATTTCATTGGTGATGCTGTCTGTGTACTTTTTATTGCATTATGCCAGGAGGCACATAATGTTAGAATGTCCCATATTTGTGGTGCTGTTTGAGCCTCAGTTAAGGTATCAATTGCCAGTTGTCTCAACACTAAACATACACTTTCACCTTTGTAAGTACTTAGTAATCTTTAGGATCATCCTTGGGCATCTTGTGAATATCTTGTTCCCCCATAATTTTTTTATCCAGTGTTTTTCACATTTTGATTTAATTTATAATTATGGAAAATCTTCATATGGTTCTAAAACCGAAAATATAGTACAAGGTACATGAAGAGAAGTTTAGCTTCCTTTCCTGTCTCCTTCACCACCCTTCCTCTATGCATAACCATTTTAATTAGTTTTTGGATTATACTTTTTTTTGCTATTGTACTTTTAAAAATACAAATATATTTGTATGCAAATATATTCATATTCCCTGTCTCAGACAAAACATAACATTGTATTGTATACTTTTCATATTTTCTTATAATAACATATTCTGGAGACCACTTTATAGCACTATATAGATATCTTCAGAAGGGCTTTTCTAAAAAATATATATATGTATATATTTCATATCCTTTCTATACTTGAAGTCATACTGTGGTATTTTACTTCCCTTGGGATAAAGTCAAACCTCTTGCAAGACCTAAAAGGCCCTACATCATTGGGCTTCCATGTGTGCCTCCAGCCTTGTCTCTTCCCTGAGCATGCATGCATGTGCATACACAGACATGCACACACAGTTGCTACTATTGCCATATTGAATTGCCTTTTGGGGGAGTGGCTTTTGAAGTTTATTAAAGTTGATTACTCTTTTGAATTTCTTTAGATTCCTTGAATGAACCATGGCAAACCCCTGGTTTTGCATATGGTGCTCCAGTCTGCCTAGAAGACTGTTCCTTCTCTCTGTCCTCACCATTCCTCCTGTAGGCCTGAGCTTAAACGTATTCCTAGAAGCCTTCCCTAGCCTCAGAACCTGAATTAGGTGCCTTTCTTGTCATTGTTTTGGTGTCACCATACAGTGTTCTAATTGTTTATTTACATGCATTCCTGTTAGTCGTGAGCTCTGTGAGCACAGGAACTATGGCTCACAGGATCTGAGGGCCCCAGTGCCTGGCACTTGGAAGGCATTCAGTAAATATTTATTGACTAAAAGTGGCAGAAAGTCACAAGCCTAGACATGCATTACAATATCCATAATACCTAAAACCAAACTCAAGTGGAATTTGCTCAGACGTAGTGATCTGGGCAGCAAACATGAGTTCCATATTCATTGTGGAGTCCAGACCAGCCTGTGTAGGAGCCTCTAGGTCACCCTGGAATGGTGCTGACTCATGGCCTGGGCTGAGAGCCAGAGAAGGGCACCAGCAGCTGCTCCTCCTGAGAGATGGAGAGGTTGACAGAGCCTGGGGGAAGGGCTAGAGATGAGAAAGCAGTGTCAGCCTATATTTTCCAGGGATGGTAGGAATGATTACTATGAGAGGAACCGAGCTGGGGAAGAACCTGCCTTCTACACGGGAGCAGGCCCCTACATGGTCAGGCATCTCTGTGGGGGCATGGGCTTCGGGGCCTGTTCCTTGATGTTGCTGGGCCTGCGGTTTACAGGATGCCCAGGCCGAGGAGGAGATCAAGCAGGAGATGAACACACTGCAGCAGAAGCTAAATGAGCAGCAGAGTGTGCTACAACGTATTGCTGCCCCCAACATGAAGGCCATGGAAAAACTGGAAAGTGTCCGAGACAAGTTCCAGGAGACCTCAGATGGTAGGATTTTACCCTTTTACTTGGGCCTGAGACGAAGACAGGAGGCCAGAAATGTGGCTAGGGCCTGTCATTGTATATCACAAAGGCTCTCGTTTTTACATGCCTTCTTACTTGAAACTGCCAAGTGGCCTAAACAGTAGGGGTCATCATACCTGTTTTATAGAGTAGAAAATCGCTGAGGATCAGAGAGGGCGAATAACCTGCCCAAGGTCATGCAGCTGGTTGCTGGTAGAGACCAGAGGAGAATCATGTTTATGTGGCTCCAAGCCTATGTTTCTTTGCACTACGTGGCTGGCCCACTGGATACAGGTGGTTGTGGAACCAACCATCTTCCTGGGGACCTTCCCCAGGCGTTCCTCTCCCTCTGTGGAATGTCCCTGCTCTGTGCAGTCATTCGTAGGTCATTCTTGCCAGAGCATGGTCCTCAGCCTTGGCAGTGAGGGGTCACCTGTCTTTCCCTTGTGGCAGAGTTTGAAGCGGCCCGAAAGCGAGCCAAGAAGGCCAAGCAGGCATTTGAACAGATCAAGAAGGAGCGCTTTGACCGCTTCAATGCTTGTTTTGAATCTGTGGCCACCAACATTGATGAGATCTACAAGGCCCTGTCCCGCAACAGCAGTGCCCAGGTAGGCTAGAGCCCCTTACCCAACCATCCCCTACCATCCTTAGTTGCCTTTACCTCTAGGCTTCCCGTCCCCATCTCCATCCAGACCCAGACCAAGATCCTGACCCATCTGCCTCCCCCTCCCCCCCAGGCA